TCCACTAAAGTTGTTATCGCTTATTCGGCTGCATTTCATTAGAATTTTGCTAATTAATTAGTTACAAGCACCAGTTTAATGTTATAAAAGAACAGAAAATCTAATTAAACCTTACAAATCTGTTAGAATCCTTAGCCCAGAAAATGTCTCTGGCAAGTATCCAGTCAGCTGATTGGAGGAAAGCATCCTACATTTGCAACACGCAGTAATGAACTATCAACTCGACATAAAATTCTCTTATCTCCTTTTTAGAAATGTAAAGAGAGGTTTGATAACTTACAAAGTCTGCAAATTAACCAAATTCCCAAGCTCAGTAGGAAGACTACCAGAAAATTGGTTCGCCTCAAGGTTCCTGATGATTTACGAAAGAAAAAGAAAGAAAATATCATTTTTATGAGTATATTTTCACAACAATCACAAGAACTTGAATCAAAATGTAGTGTTAAGGCCCTAAACATAAACCAATTTTCAATACGTACAGGTCTGTCAGAGTGGTAATATTTCCCAACTCCTTTGGGATTTCCCCCGATAACCGATTGACAAGCACAGAGCTGCAGGAAATTCACAATTAGACATACGTACATAGCAACGAGATTAAAAACTTCTCACAGAAATTCAAAAGGCTCACAAATAATTTAGTTTCATTGAAGCCCATTCCTTTGGTATTGTACCACTGAGATAGTTGTAAGAAAAATCACTACAAGAGAGAAACGTTACTTTGATTAATTAATTAATAAATAAATAAAGATATGTAGCTTTCGATACCGAATCTCCAATGTATATCATGTAAGTCAAATATGATAGCTCTTACATTTTTCGAAGGTAAGGAAGCTTGACGAGTTGAGGTGGCAGCAACCCAGGTAAACTATAACCCATGAGCGTTCTGTAACACATTAAACACATGATATTAACGTTGCTACTGAGATTCAGAGCTCTGTGACATGGAACGCGTTGCCTTTCCTTAAGCCGAGATGGAAAAATCAATGTAAAAGTTAAGAGTCATACAGCGTTGCAATATGACAAACAGTGCCGTTCTCAAAGTTGCAATCACATTCAGTATTTCCTTCGGATCCCTTTGGTTGCTTCTCTGTTAGACCCACCGTTTCAATTCGGCAAGTACCAGCGTTAAAAGTCCAATATTTTGCACCCATCGTGGTAGCAATTTCTCGGAGAGCATAAACTAAAAGGCATCCAAATTCAAACGATACTATAAGAGTCATAGCATGTAGCAATCAATACTATAAACAAGCAATGAGTGAATGCCAAGACTAGTTGCCATTTTATTTGAGGAGCTTATATTCTCTAGTCTCTAGATTGCTTATGGAAGGTTCTGGCGACTGAAAACACTTCAAACTAGGATTGACAACAATACTTAAAAGTGCTTTTGCGTTGAGAAGCACCTAGCACTTCTTCAAGAAGCACTTGGATTGTCAATGGAATTCAGACGTGTTTGTAACAAAAGCGCTTATATATGAGCGGTTTCCCGAGAAGCAGTCTCAAAAGGAGGGCATCATAGTGATAGCCTCGAAAATGAAAACCGACACAATTCTCAGTTTGGGTTGTCCATATCAGACAGGCCATGCAGCTAATCCAAGCAACTTTGATGAGTCCTTGTACGTACGAAAGACAAAGACTTTTTTCCCGCAGGGCCGCAGCACAACTTTTTCAAAACCAAACAGGCAACTAGGGATTGTAAACAATAGAAAGATATATAGTAATAAGCACTCACCTTCCTGCTGGGGTAACATAATCAGCTGAGCAAGTCCCAGATGTGTGGAGCAACTCAATGCAATAATAATGAAGCAAACAAAGAGAAAGGTTACCAGCCTGCTGCTGCATCATCACGAATTAGCAATGAAATTGTAGTAATTGGGTAAGTTTTTGCAGTAGCCAATGCTTATAACGAGATCAAAGCAACAATCTTTGAAAGTTAAGAGCACTCCATGAATGTGCTTAATATAATGAGACAAGTAGGTACAGTTTTTAGTGTTCACTGTTGTGTTGGACGTGTTTTGTGGTGAACATTCTGACGTGTAAATAAAAGTAACATTGTGAAAAGAAGCTTTAGAAAAAAGTAGAAAGAAAATAATGCATATCTTTGTAAAAAAGAAGAATGAATGCCCAAGTAGATTCAAACCAAAGGGACTGCTTTTAGGTGGAATAGTCTTGATTGATCGATCGTAAGTATTTACGTAACATTGTGAAAAGAAGCTTTAGAAAAAAGTAGAAAGAAAATAATGCATATCTTTGTGAAAAAGAAGAATGAATGCCCAAGTAGATTCAAACCAAAGGGAATGCTTTTTGGTGGAATAGTCTTGATTGATTGATTGATCGATCGTAAGTATTTTTACAGAAAGTTTTAACGAAACATTTTTAGTACTGTTTACTTTTAATGTTAAGGATATTTTTACTCTAAAAAGTCACTCTTGGTACTGTTGAGCAAAAATTGTGCACAATATGTAAACAAATAATTCACTCGACATAATTTCACCCTAATTCATTTTTTCGAAGAGGGTTTTATTAATTTGAGTTTGATCCATTCTAGACTATGCGTCTATTAATTACAATCATTCTTTAAAAGGAAAAACCCTTTGATTCCAATATGAATAAATCTTAACTTGGGGATTTGGGTTTTTGATTTTGTGATTGCACCTAGGTCAAGCTCTAGATTACCTACGTAACCTCATTGAGGGATTAAGTCACTTGTAGTTCTTTATGTATTTGTTAGGTTTGATGCCTTGTGCAGTTCAGCTCGTGCAGGTAAGGAGCATTTAATGCCTTGTGCAGTTTAGACTCTTGCAGGCGGGGACTTTGAGTCACTTGGAACTTTTGACGCCTTGCGCAATTTTAGCTCGTGCGGGCGAGGACTTTGAGCCATTTGAGCTTTTGATGCCTTATGCAGTTTCAACTCTTGCAGGCAAGGGCATTGTGCCACTTGGAGCGTTTGATGCCTTGTGCAGTTTCAGCTCGTGCAGGCAAGGACTTTGTGTCATTAAAGCTTTTGACGCCTTATGCAATTTTAGCTCGTGCAGGCGAATACTTTGAGCCATTGGAGCAGATGCAGCTTCGTGTTATTTGAGTTTTGTCGCGGCTTCGTGCCATTTGATATTTGATATTTGACATGGCTTTATGCCATTTGAGACTTTTCTTCGACTTTGTGCCATTTGACCACTTCAGGAATTTAACGGGAGCTTGATCCATTTGGACGTAGTGCAAATCCACTAATTTGAGATGGTAAGTCCATTGAGCTTTTTGCTTTGAGATGGTTTGCATCTACGGTATTAGAAGTAATTTCCATTCACAAATTGTCACAGTTGACGTTGTCTCCATGTTACTTGCACCATATTCAGTCAATGGAGCCCACACTTAATGTTCAAGTGAGTGGCATTCCAAGTTTTGGAGGAGCTCTACTTTTCCTCCCTTGCTGCAGCCCTCAGTGCTTTAGAAACTCAATATTTGACTTAAGAATCAAACATAATGATGACTAATATTTATGACTTAGTCATAAAGATGATTAATATTTAAGTCACATGAGTTACTATTGCATTTGGTCTTTGGTTTACATCCACTTGTTGTCTATTTGCTTTCCATGTGGTGATTTCGATGCTCAGCAGAAGCACAGAGGATAAAGAAAGGCTTTGCCTTTTGGTGCATTAAATCAAGGGTAAATTACATAGTAGCCCCTCAGATTTAAGATCTATTACAATCACATACAATATCTTTAAAACATTTCACTTTCATACGTCAAGTACTATTTTATTTCAATATAATACATCCGTTACATTTTTCATTCATTGATCCGTTAAGTGCTAACGTGATTGCCACATTTATGCCACGTGGCAATTTTTATTTTTATTTTTTTAACCTGAATTTTCTCAACAAAAAAAAATGAAATCCATTACATCTACCCGCAACCCCCCCAACAAAAAAAACCAACCCAGATCTCGTCATCCCACCAAGCCCTTTCCTTCCCCCCCCCCCGCCCGATTCACCCAGACCCTTGCCCCTCTCGCGTCACCCATTCCCCCCTTCACCCACGCTCGACGCACCTCACTTAGAACCCCCAACCCCCCGCGACCGAGCTCACCCAGAACCTGACCCCCACCCTTTTCTCATCTTTGCAACTCGCACTCACATTTCTTTCCCATCTGAATCCTGCTCGTCGGTGAGTCGGTCGGCTCCGACAACGAGGTATGCATTTAATTTTGTCCTTCAAATTTTGAATTTTTTCAATGCTTGGTTGGTGGTGGTCTGGATAGAGTTAGGTTTGTTAATGGTGGGTGGGGTTGCAGATAGGGGTGGGTTCAAAAAACCGAAAACCGAAAAAAACCGACAACCGAACCGAACCGAGGCCGAAAAAAACCGAACCGAAAAAAAACCGAACCGAAACTGTCAAACCGAACCGAACCGAATCTGACCGGTTCAGTTTCGGTTTTTGAGCTTCGAAAACTGAACCGAACCGAACCGAACCGATATATATATATTTAATTTTGTTTTCAATATTATAAATAGTTTAGGCATACAATCATAACAAAACAGAACTTGTTACCAAGTTGGTTTAAGCGAAATTTTTCACACTGGTGGCAATGGGTTCGAACCCTCATGCCTTTAGGATTTATGAGATTGTTTTTTAATTTTGTTGAGAAATCAACAAAATCCTTTAACCCTAACTTTTTTATTTTTCATACCCTTCTTCTCTCTCTTGTTCCCTGCCTCCAGACTCCCTCCATGAACCCTAACCCAGTAACCCTCTCGCGCCGCCTGAGCTTCCTGTCTCTCTCGCTCGGTCTTCAATCGCTCTGTCTCTCTCAATCTCTCAAGCAACCCGCGACAGCGCGACCCTTCTCACTCTCAATCTCTCACACCTCGCCCTCTCCATCAGTCTCTCATCTCGCCGTTTCGAGTCTCGATAGCAAAAGGTTAGCCTCCTCTCTCTCTCTCTCGGTCTTCAACTTCAATCACTCTCTGTCTCTCTCAAACTCTCTGTCTCTCTCGGTCTTGAATCTCGGGCGACCCACGACGGGGCGACCCATCTCACTCTCAATCTCTCACACCTCGCCCTCGCCGTCAGTCCTTCATCTCGCCGTGAGCTTCTTCTTGCCGTTTCGAGTCTCGACTGCAAAAGGTTAGTCTCGCCGTGAGCTTCTTCTTGTTCGTTCGCAGACGGAAGCTCTCTACTCCAAACTCTACGAAAAGTACACAAAAATCAAGGTGTTCTGTGTTCTTTCCCACTTCTTTACAATTTTTTTTGCTCATTCATTTTTTTTTGCTTAATCAGTTAATTGTATGTTAAATTTGCTCAGGGGAGAAATTTGAGGTTAGGGAAATAGAAAGTAATTGTCTTTTTTTGTACTTCTGAATTTTTTTTGCTCATTCATTTTTAATTGCATGCTAAATTTGAGTTGGGAACTTTTGCTTACTTGTTACCCAGTTGGATTTTTTTGAGCTACTTTTGCAGTTTCTTTCTTCGTCTTAATTTGGGAACAATTTGATCATGTTTGACTTATCATTTTGTTTTTGGGGTAATCTGTCAAGCTGGTAATATATGTGGAAGCTCGGCTATTGGAGGAAATCAGCAGCTTTATGGTTTGGCAAGGTGTAGTGACGATAGATAGCCTACTTTTATGTATAATTTGAAAGAGGATGGAGATAAGTATATTTCTCTGGGAATCAGAGCTTCCATGATATGTGATTACCTGTTATCTTTGAATTTCTCTGCCGAGTATTTCCTTAAGTGAAACTATGGCCCTGCAAATTTGACATGTTGTTGAAGGTTGTAAATCATATGTTGTTCTTTTAGTGGTAAAAATCTTGTTAAACATGTATTTTCATTTAGGTTATGGACTCTTGGACTTGCTAAGTCATGATGGAAAAGACCAAAGATTCATTGGTAACGTGTTCTGAAAAGTAGCATAGGCATTGCAATTCTCTGAGTAGCGTTTTATTATGGATAACGTTTTTGGTGCTGAAGGAAGATTTCCATCAAACCTAGCATCAATAGAGCATATTGTTTCTTGACTACATTATGTATAAGTATTAGAGTTTAAATTGTAAACGGATCTGGACAATATATGAAGTTGGTATTGATTTCTCAGAGAACAAATAGAATTGAACATCCAGGCTTGTTCTTGTTGACATGATTTATATAAGATATACTTATATCACTTTAGAGAAAACTGGTTATATGCATCTGTATTGTCTCAAATTAATTTTAGGCTTCCCTTCAAAGCGTTCTTTTTGTCCATCCATCTGGGTGGTGTTCAATTTTAGATTATCCTTTGAATACTAGACGTCCAGATAATGGCTTTGTGGTCCTTCAAATAAATTACTGATAGTGTTCATGCAGTTGATGGTGAAACAGGTATGGTAATTAAACGACTTCATGTTTAGGAATGATAGGCTTGTACTTTGTAATTTAAAGATGTGTGCATTTTTCATATAAATTTTGTTCATTGTGTTAGAATGCTTATGTTATAATTGTGTTGGAGATGTTAAAATTTTAGATTTCAATTTTGTTTTCATTTTTCCAAAAAAAAAAAAAAAAAAAAAAAAAACCGAAAAAAACCGAAACCGAAAAAAACCGAACCGAAAAAAAAATGGACCGAACCGAACCGAACCGAAATTTCGGTTCGGTTTCGGTTTTGGCAAAAAACCGAACCGTTTTGAACCGAACCCAGCCCTAGTTGCAGATGAGAGAAAGGAGAAAAGGGGTGGGGGTGAAGAGGAGAAAGGGATCGGGGAAGGTGGAGGTGGGGTGGGGTGGGGCTTTGCTGTTTTTATGGGAGGAGAGGTGAAGAGAGTGGAGGAGAGGGAGGTAGGTCGGGAGGTGGGTTTCAATTTTTTTATTTTTTTTAAGAAGATTCAGGTGGTTTTTTTTTTTAAATTAAAAATTTATTTTTTTGCCACGTGGTGTGCCACGTCGGTACTTAACGGATCAATTGATGAAAAATGTAACGGAGGTATTATTTTGAAATAAAATAGTACGTGATGTATGAAACTGAAATGTTTTAAAGATGTTGTATGGGGTTGTAATAGACCTCAAACCTGAATGTCTACTATGTAATTTACTTTTAAATCAAAAGGAAGGCCTTTTTATTTGAACTCTCTCAATGCCACGTAAGTGGCTTTCCTCATGGTGATGACGATCATGATTTGCCATCTTTTCATCATTTTCTAATAATATTTTGTCCCTTTTTCTAGGGAATCGCATGCATGGCATTCCCATTTGTTTGCTCTTCATCACATGCTATTTGGATTTCCTTTCATGGAACTTATGAAAGCTCCGGAGACTTTTAAGAAAATTGCACCGAAAAGCAACAACATGTTTTAATATTTAGAGTAGTGATCATTATATGAGGAAGGCAACAATGCTCTTTGTCTTGCTACGAACGCCATAGAAACAATAATAAAAACAGGGAGCCCCTTGTGCTGTAGATTTTTGGGAGCCTCATTTTGACCTTTAAACAGACTTTCGAACCCTATGCTATATTGGTTTCCTTCAATTAATCCTTCTACTGTCATCATATTGAGGGTGATCAACAAAAGAAAGAGAAACATTCCTTTCCAGCAAGCCTGCTATGCATCCAGGCGCATCGTCCCTTTTTCTGCATCTCCTGGCTGCCATGAGATGCTTGTTTGATCCCAAAAGGAACTTTTCTTTCTCTCTGTCCATGACTAACGATGGCAATAATTGTCCGTACAAATCCATGAGATTGCCACCTGGATCATCATGCTCAAATTTGTGAGGTGGTTGTGTAATGGCGGCATTGAAGTCGCTGGTGCTGTCCTTGGCTTTGTCTTCCGTTTGACATCAGAAGTGGTGATGCAAATGTTACCTTCCTTAACTTTTTCACACTGATCACCGCTGCCACCTTCTTATTTGAGCCTCTGTCGAATTTGTTGATGGTCTGGACTCGTGTGCCCAACTACATCTCTTGGTTCACCGTCCTAGGATTGCAGATTGCAATGCCCTTAGGCTTCTTCCGGAGGACTGCCGAAGACAACGGTTGAAGAGCGGTGGTGTTGCGGTGTTTGGTTGCTGCAATGCTAGAAATCTTTAATTTTAAGAAGACAGAGCATGGTGCCGGGACTCTCACAGAGCTTTCAGGGACATGGTAGTTGATGGCGGAGTGAGCAGGATGTGGGTGTAACTACTTTGGACTCAGATAGACGGCTCTGATGGTGGTTGTTCCTTTAGAGTTCTTGTGGCTTTCTTTCTAAGCGAGACCGTTATGCATAGCACCATCAATTCTAGAATACGGGAAGCGGGCTTGTCCTTGAAGATGCGACCACGGCTGTTTGACCTTGACACATGCTCGCAGGTTGAAGGGCGTTGATGATGGCGAAGGCACGGCGAAGGTGGTCCTAGAGCCATTGCAGAGTCTTGGAGGCCTTGGGGTTGTCTTCGAGGGATCATGGTGCACAGTTGATGCGTCCGTCTTGGCTTTCGTTTGACGTCGGCGGTTGTTGCAGCGTGTTGCTTTTGGTGGGTTCCCTATCAGTCATCGCTGCATCGGCGATGGTTATAGGTCGTTGCTGCGATCTGGACTCTAGGGAAATCGACTCGCCGTTGCCGCCACTCGTGGCTTGGATCTTGTCGTCAGCATTCATCAACGGTTGGTGCTGCATCAACACTAACTGTCATCGGCTGAGCAGGGAAGAGAGAGTTTTCCCAAGCTTTCTTTGTGGGTCTCGGTGAATAATCCGAGAGAGAGAGAGAGAGAGAGAGAGAGAGAGAGAGAGAGAGCGGTGCACTGCAGTCGGGGGAAGACAGAGTTGATATCTACCGTTATTCGTGGCTGGGCTTTTGACGGCGACCGTTGCGGTTGTAGGAATTGACAGCAGCAATGATGGTTGCTGCTTCTTGCGGCTGGCGGCGCTGCTACGGGAGGAACGAGGAGGCATCAGAGCTTTTGAAGCTGCGGTTGTCTGGGCCCTAGGGAAGTCAGCGGTGGGCGCTACTAGTGGGTTCATTGTTGTTGTTGCTTTATTCGCTTCTTTCCTTTGCACCGTCGGCGAACCTCCACATTATTGCTAGGCATGGTAGACCGGCACTGCTGGGTTCCTTTTCTTCCCCTGGGATATTTGACTTTGTGTGTTTGGTGATCTCCGAAAGAGGGTGAGAGTTGGGGAAAAGATTTGGGGTTGCCTCTTTAGAGTCTCCACCTTCATTTTTTTTTTTTTTTGGAAACCTCCACCTTCATTTTTTTGCTTCGGGGAATGGGAGAGGTTGAAGAAGCAAAGTGCTTCTTTTTCTCCTGCAAAGCCGAGAGAAACCAAACAAAGGAAGATAAAAGGATGGATTTATACCTTTAAATGCTTTGTTGCTTTCTCTTGCCATGTATCCTCTTCTTTGTTTGCCTTTGTCCCCTTGAGTTCCAACACTTCGCTCCTTCTTTGATTTCTCTCAAACTCTCTCGAGATTTCTAGTATTTCTTCTCCGCTGTCCTCTCTGTGTGTCTATTTTTATATGGTTTATTTCCCATGAAGATAGCTAATTTCAACTTGAAACCCAATTTTCCATTCCTTATGTATTAGTCAAGAACAAGAATAATACCGATACCTTGCATACCACTTTCTTATAAATACACATGTTTTCGGTGTGAAAGATATCCTAGTCAAACAAGCCTTCTAAATATTTAATATTTTTCTTAAGGAGGAGTATATGTACTTGCTAAAGAAACTCGCAACAATTGGTATGAAAAAATTACAAGATAAGGATAGACAACTAGCTAGACTGCTACTATGCATGATGTCCTCAGGATCTTGATTCAAATTTGATTGAACTCGATTCATGGCCTGAAGTAGATGAAGAGCAAAATGTACTAGAAGTTGCCAAATTCTCGGATTGGCTTCCACTTGAACTTTGTGCTTGCCTTTGATGGTGTCGATCTTTCACGGCCTTGAGCCTCAAATCTTCAGTGCATGATATCTCGCTTCTGGCTTCGTGTCCGGGACTGTTGTTTGTCCTTCAAGCATGCTCACCACCTCGGACATGGTAGGCCTAAGTGACGGAGAAACATTCGTGCACAGCAAACCGACTTTAACCATTACTTCTGCTTCTTTGCCATTGATTTCACTCACTAAGCTCTCATCTATCAGCTCCTTCAAGTTTCCACCTTGTTGCAACTGATAGGCCTGCATGCAACAACGGAAATTTCGCTTTATCAAAGGGTTTCTTGCTGATTAACATAAAATTGTTGGAAAAACCACAA